CCCTCCTCCTCCCACCCCCCCACCCCACCACCACCACCCCCCACCCCCACCACACACACACACACGCACACACATGCGCCACACATACACACCTCGCCCCCCTCCACCCTCCCGCCGTCTCCACCACATACCACACACGCAGCACTCATGACCAGTCCGTACGACGAGTATGCTCCCAATGGAAGACCAGTCGGAATGAAAGGTCGCAGTTTGCCGCCACTCCGCCCACCGCCCTCGCTTGATTCTGGCACGTCTCTCCAGCCGAGGACGACATGGCGCACGTGCTGGCCGGCTCGGAGGACTCGTACTCGCACTTGCTCTACCTCTTCATCATGCTCTCTCTCTCACTCTCGCTCTCCTCAGGGACGACACCTCCTCCTGCTACCGCATTCTCATACTCTAACTTTACCTCGACTGCTGGCTTGCAACTCTCCATTGCCGAGGTAGTCTCGGTCGGTGGCCGTCACGTCGTGGCTCTGCCCGACATCGCATTGTCTGGCGCAGGCTCGGTCTTCACCACCAACCATGTTCAGCTCAATGGCTTTGTCACCTCGTTCAAGCTCAACTTTACTTCTCTCGAAGGCATACCTGCCCAGGATGGCGTAGCTTTTGTCGTCAACGCATCGCCCAAGCAATATGCCGGTGCTGGTGCTGGCATCGGCTACGCCGCCACCGAGCCGACAGGCACCACCGGCATTCCGCTCTCGCTCGCTGTCGAGTTTGACATCTTCTCGGATGCCGACATGAACGATCCGCTGCTGCCTCACATCTCTGTCCACTCGCTCGGTGGCGAGCCCAACTCGGCTCGCGAGGCCGCCCCGGCTGTTCTCTGTGCCCCGGCCACCGCCCTGCCCTCGTTCTTCAATCCAGACGGCGTCGAGATCCGCATTGAGTACTCCTCGCCGCTGGCCTGGGCGCCTCCAGGATCCAGCCCCTCACTCCGTGTCTGGTTCGAGCCCATTGCCACCCCGGTCTTCACCTGCCACGCCTACGACCTGCCTGCGCTCGTCGCCCCGGCCTCCCGCGCCGCAAAAATCGGCTTTACAGGCGCGACTGGCCCGGCCGGCGGTGCGCTGCAGCAGCTCATGGCATGGCACTACACCTCGCTTTCGCAGCCGATCGCCAACGTCTCGCTTGCATCCGGACCTGGTCTCACCGCCGCCACCGCGGGCGCCACCGCCCACTTTTCCATCACCCTCCACGACCAGTATGGCTTTGTCTACCCGTACCCGGTCCCCGACTCTTCCCTCACTGCCCGACTCGACCCGCCGCCGGCTCCCGGTACGGGCTCGGTCGAACTTGTCTACACCGGTGATGGCGTGTACTCTGGCACCTACTCGCTGCAGCGGGCCGGCCCAGTCAAGCTTCTGCTCCAGCTTGGCGGTGCGCCCGTCGCCGACTCGCCGTATACCGTCACCGTCGCGCCGGCCGCGCTCGATGCCGCTCGCTCGCACTACGCCCCGACCCCGACCGACGGCTACGCCGGCCAGATCTTCCCCATCACCATCCAGACTGTCGATGTCTACGGCAACAACCTCACCGCCGAATCGGCCGCGCCGGTCGTCGCAGACGTCGTCCCGCTCTCGCTCGACCCGCACTTTGCCGTCACCTACGCCGACGCCGGTCGCTACGTCGGCACCTATCAGTTTACCCGTGCCGGCGAGCCGTACTCGATGGGCGTCTCCATCTCGTCGATCCTCCTCAACAACGGCGGTGTGTACCTGTTCGGCATTCGGCCCGGCTTGCCCGACCCGGCGTCGACTGTCACGTCCGGCAACGGCGTCCACGGCGCCGTCGTCGGCTCGCTCGCCGCCATCAACTTTGCGCTCTTCGACAAGTACGGTAATCCGCAGGTGGTCGGCGGTGCGCCCTTGAAGGCTGTCCAGGCCTCGGGCCCGGCCGCCCTGGACCTGTCGCTCGTCGACCACGCCGACGGCAACTACACTCTCACCTACTCTTCCACTGTCGCCGGCGACTACGCCGTCGACGTCACCCTCGCCGGCACTGCTATTGCCGGCTCGCCACTTCCACTCACTCTTCTCTCGACCAACAAGCCTGACGTGTCCAAGACCCTGGTATCTGGACCGGGCGTCGCGCCGTCTGGCTCGCATGTCGGCCGTAACCTCGCTCTTTACATTGTCGCCCGCGACGAGTTCGGCAATGTCATCGATCCTGCGCTCCTTGCCGTCGCTGCCAACGTCACTACCGTCGCTGCCCCACTCGCTCCGCTCCCACTTACCGGACCAACCCTTCTCAACGCCAGCATCTTTGCCTTTGAGTACTTTGCCACTCTCGCCGGCGAGTATCATGTATCCGTTACCGTCGACGGTGTTCCTCCTCCGGACTCACCACTGCTGGTTGTTCTCGGCCCGAGCACACCCGACGCCACTACATCGACCATTGCTACCTCCCCGCAGCAGCTCGTTCATCCTGCAGGTACCCTGGTCAACATCTCGCTCGTCCTCTGCGACGTGTGGAGCAACGTCCTCACCTCGGCCGACGTCGCCCTTGTCGGGCTCAACATCACCCGCGCGCTCACCGCAAACCTCACCGCCACCCCGCTGACGAGCGGCGGGCGCCCGATCCCGCTTCCTCCTTTTGTCTTTGATGCCGAGACCTTGCTCTGGCACACGTCGTATGGACTGACACATGCCGCACAGTACGAGCTGTGGATTCTGCTCAACGGCGCCGTCGTCGCGCCGCAGGTCCAGCCGCTGCCGGCGCTCATCACGCCTGCCGCCGCCGCCCGGCCCAAGACCACCGTGGCCGGCTCTGGCGTCTCGCCTTCCACTGCCGCAGGTGACGACGCCTTTACCATCGACGTCTTTGATGCCTACGGCAACCGCATCGTCGGCGCCACCCTCGCCGCCGCCGCCATCAACGTGGCCGTCACCGAGGTCGGCTCCGGCGCGACCGTTCCGATTGCCTTTGTCTCGGAAACCTCGCCGTTTGTCATCACGTACCCGGCCACCAACGCTTCTGCCATCTACGCCGTCGCCATCGTGCAAGACGGCGTGCCGCTGCCGGACTCGCCGTACCGAGTCCATATTGAGCCTGATGCTCTCTACGGCCCAGCCTCCATCGCCACGGGCCCAACTGCGCTCAGCCACGGTCATGACGGAACGTTCTGGCTCCGCGGCACAGACCGATACGGCAACGACATGACGGCCAGCGCCATGGCCGCCCGCTCCAACAACGTCTCTCTTATCGTCTCGGGCCCGGTCTCCGGCACCGTCGTCATGGCGGCCGAGCCGGCCAGTCTCGCCTGGCGCGCAAGCTTTGGCTTCCGCAAAGCCGGCAAGTACGAGGTCTTGGTCATGGTCAACGGCATGAGTGCACGCAACTCGCCGTTCCGAGTCCACGTCTCTGGTCCCAACATCGGCCTCATCGTCGGCCTCGTCGTCGCCGCTGTCGCCATCGTCCTCGCCATCGCTGTCGTCGTCGGCTTCCGCCTCCGCGCCCGCCGTGCCGCCGCCCGCCAGCGCCCAGATGAGACTCAGCTCCTCTCCCCGACCGCCGGCACCTACGGCAGCACTCCTGCGTCACAGGTCTCGCCTCCCTCACCGACGTCAGCGTAAAGTCAACCGCCCAGCCAAGTGTCACCCGACTCGCAACTGCCGCGTGACCGAGCGAGACGCGACCCCACCCGAGCTCCCCTCTTCCCCCGCATACGCCCGCGCCTCGCCCCCTCCCCACCCATACACACCTCTCCCGCTCGGGTGCATGCGCATTACCTGCTTCTACTTTGCAGCAGCCAAGGACGTGACCGGAGTCAACGAGTCGGTCTTTGACGTTGCCGACGGTACCTCGCTGCAGACGCTGCTGAGTGACTCGATTCTCTCGGCCTTCCCCGCTCTGACTCATCTGGCCACTTCCTCGGTCCTTGTTCTCAATCTCGAGTACCTCGACGACGGCGCCGATCCGGTTCTTCACGACGGCGACGAAGTCGGCTTCATCCCTCCCATTTCTGGTGGGTGATCTGCCATAGCGACGATGTCGACGCCCACGTCGTGCGCCCATGCTCACGCCCGCGATCCGTCTGCCTCGACTGACCTCCTCCCGCCGGGCACGCTCCCAGAGACGCCACCATCAGTTCCGGCCGAGCCGGTGGAGCAAGCTGTCGGTCCTGATGGCGCGGACCTTGTGCTGCTCTCCGACGGCCCGCTTGACATCGGCGCCTTGTATGAAAGGGCTCTGGCGTCTGGTGCAGGCGCAGTTTCCATGTTCTCGGGAGTGACGCGCGACAACTTCAACGGCCAGCCTGTGGAGCGACTCGAGTACGAGGCGTATGGGCCGATGGCCATGCGCGAGATGGCCAAGATCTGCGCCAAGGCACGCGAGCAGTGGCCGGACCTCCTGCACGTTGTCATCGCCCACCGCATTGGCACCGTTCCGGTCTCGGACGCGTCGGTGGTCATTCTCGCCTCGTCGCCGCATCGCGCTGAGTCGCTGGCAGCCGTCACCTGGGCCATCGACGCGCTCAAGGCCTCGGTTCCGATCTGGAAGAAGGAGTTCTACGCTGCTGCGCCAGCCGATGACGGCGTCGAGATCGAGCCGCCGCCGCCGTCGCGATGGAAGGCCAACTCGGAATGCTTCTTCCACGGCCACCACGGCCATGGGGCCGGCGCATCAAAACGATAATGAAAGAATAAGAAAATGCTTTATGTCGCCTTACCGCCACACGCTGTGCAGGTAGTCGATGGCTGTGACACTCGCATCGCTCGTCAGCTTTTTGATCTTACATGCCTCCTGGTAGTCGTCCGGGATCGAGAGCTTGAGAGTTGCAGCAAAGGTAGCCAGCGGACAGTACTCGGCACCGGCGCAGGCTGGGAGGACAACCGGCTTGCCGAGGTACAGGACACGGACGGTGGCGTTGCTCGGCGCGCCCGGTACGGTCCACAGCTCGAGCGCAACATGCGAGGCGTAAGGCGGCCACACCCATCGAACACGCCCATGGCGGCGAGGAGCGGGCCAACAGAGGTATCGTGTCCTGAAAAGAGCCGGAACTTGGCAAGACCAGAACCGCCAGTGTTGGCGGCAGCCATGTTGTCGAGGAGGGTGGCGTAGAACGGGCCGAGCGAAAAGGCCGAGCCGTGGAACAAAGCGATGCCGACCTCGTTCCATGCCGCGTACAGTGCATGGTATGCGGCCATCGAGAGCGGCGGAGAGCCCGGAAGCGGGAGGTCGTGATGGACGCGGCAGTTGATGTTGTCGTAGTATGCCAGCGCCTTGAGCGGGTCCTTGGTCTGGAGCGCACGGTCGAGCTCGGGCACAAACGGAAGGAGGAGGGCAGTGACCCGCTCGGCAACGGTCAGGTTGTGAGCAAGGAACTCGCCAATGGTCTCGGAGATGGCCGGGCAGAGCTTGGGGTTGATCGACATCGGATCGCGCGAGGTGTCGATCGTCCACGTCGCCACAACCTGGCTCGACGAGCTCGAGCCGCTCGGCATCGGGTACATGCCGTTGATCAGCTCCTCTGCGCTCATGATCGTCCGCGGCACGTCAGTAGCGCGGACATACATGAGGTCAGCGTCGTAAGAGCCCGGCAGCAGCGGAACATCCTCGACATACCGCTTCCTCAGTTCGGCGCCAAGCATCAGCTGCTGCTTCTGGCCAATGTTGGTCAGCTGGCCGGTCGAGCAGTTACCCGCCAGCGGCTGGCGACCATCGATGAACCGCAAGTTGAACAGCCTTCCCATACTCGGCACAGACGCATGACTCGGTGGATCCAATAGCGGCGAGAGCACCGTCGATGCGTGGCAAATCCATGTCGCAGGATCGCTGGCAATAGCCGTCGTCGGCGTTCGGTCTCCGTGGCGGGTCACCACCTGGACCAGCGAGAGCACAGCAGACGCAGGCGGTGGCGTATCGCCATGGGCCACGGTCACCGCCACCGCGAGAAGAGCCAGGAGTCCCAGCGAAATGAAAGTGGTCATACTGAGTGCGGTGGTGGTGAAGGGGGAGTGAGGGGGGGGGGGGGGGCGACAAGTCGTCGCGCTTATTGTCAGGTATGCTTGTCGCGTGCCACATGCGGCGGCTGTGCGGCGGTTGTGCGGCGACTGTGTGCCGGCTCGGCTGTAAGGCGGCTGCATGTTTGTCAAACGAGGTCGCTACATGGTGTTTTCACAAGGTAATCGTGTCCAGAAGGGCTGCGACAGCAGGGGCGTTCGGGCCAGGGCCGATGGCGGTGACCCCGTCGTGGTTGCCGAGATCAGCGCCAGAGTAGTCGAGGGCGGCACCGGTGAGCGCGGCGGTGACGACGCCGCCGAGTGCGTGGAGGACCGCCTGGGGTGCAGCCGTGTCCCAAATGCTCGATGAGTCCTTGGGGTGATAGTAGGCGTCGACCGCGCCGCAGGCAACCAGCAGCATTTTGTAGCCGCAGCCCGGGGCGCGAGTGACATGGGCGCCGGCGGCGGCCACGCTCGCGGCCAGCTTGTTGTGGAACTCACGATCGGTGGCCGAGACCACGACTCGAAGCGCAGCGTCAGGCAGCGGGTGGGGAAAGAGGGTTGGTGGTGGCGGCGGAAGGCCCATCACGCCGGCGCCGACAACCGCGAGCGTGAGGCCCGACACTCCGGACGTCTCCGGCCATGGCTGCTTGATCACCGCCGCAAGCGGCTCGCCGTCGACCACAAGGCCAAACAGAAACAGAACCGCATGAAGCTTGCCCTGCGTGTAGGCTAGCGTGCCGTCCAGGGGATCCACAACAACCTTGACCCGGTCGAGAGCTACCTGCGTGTCGAGCACCCTGTACCACGCCGCCACGTCCTCCCCACCGGTGCGCAGCATCTCGGTGAGCATCTCGCGAGCATTGTCGACCATCACCGCAGCATCAGCAGCAACCGGCACAACATCCTCCTCGCCGATAACCACCAGATCCGGCCAGCGCGCACCCACCGATCCCTCCACCAAGGCCTGTACCGCAGCATCGGCGGCCGTCGCAGGATCGAACCCGCCGTCGCTCGCCTTGTTGACCGTCTCCAGCTCGCCCGACTCGCGAGTGCTCTTGATAATCTCCGCCGCAGGCTCTGCCAGGGCCACTCCGGTGGCAAACACCTCGAGTAGACTCACCATGGTCGACGTGGACATGCTGTGCGAGCTGTGGAGCGAGTGAGGTGGGCGAGTTGAGTTGGTTGGCATCTGGCCGCCAGGTGGCCCGTTGCGTCTCAGACCGACCACTTATGAGGGGAGAGGGTGGAGATGACATGGTTGTACATGGCAGTTGTGTTGCGATCATGTGGACGTGTCCCGTTCTGCTGGCATCGGATGAGATGAGCGAGTTGTCCTTTAGGCCGCCGAGTGTGTGTGAGGGGGGGTTGTCTCGCCAGGGAGAACGACACGAGGCTGGACTCAAGAGCTGGAAGACTTGCCAATGCTCATCGTGTCAACTCTCAGCACACATGGGGGCATGATGTACCTATCGACGCAATCACTGTCTTGAAGTAGGCCGACAAGAAACGGGTGTGGTCGCCGTGTTTTGGAGGCAGCACATGCTGTAGTTTGCCGACGAATGGCTGATCTTTGATTCTGCCGACTCGATGTCCCCCCACAATCTGACGCATCATGTGCATTACGAGGTCCACACGACAGACCTCCCAGATGTGACTTGAAACTACGTCGCTTCTGCAAACCACATTTGACGGTCAGCTAGTCTGTGGCTAATCCCCAAACACTTTCACGACGTTGTCTGCCGGGAGCTGGCGGAGCGGGACGCGGGACGCGGGACGCGGGGAGTGTGTGGCAGCGGACTCTTTCACGAAAGGTCGATGACGGTGCGGATCGAGGTACCGGCATGCATGAGATCAAATGCCTTGTTGATGTCGGCGAGCGGGAGAACGTGGGTGACGTACTCATCGACCTTGATCTTGCCGGCGAGGTAGTCGTCGACCATGGCCGGGAGTTGCGAGCGGCCCTTGGTGCCGCCAAAGGCCGAGCCGCGCCAGACCCGGCCGGTGACGAGCTGGAACGGGCGGGTGGAGATCTCCTCACCAGCGCCGGCGACACCAATGACAATCGACTCGCCCCAGCCCTTGTGGGCAGCCTCGAGAGCGCTGCGCATCAGCTCGACCGAGCCGGCCGCCTCAAAGGTGTAGTCAAAGCCACCGCCGGTCATCTCGACAAGCACCTCCTGGATCGGCCGGTCGGGATAGTCGTGCGGATTGACAAAGTGGGTGGCGCCCATGGCCTTGGCACCCTCAAACTTGTCCGGGTTAATGTCGATGGCGTAGATGTCCCGGGCCTGGGCCAGGTGCGCGCCCTGGATGACCGAGAGGCCGACGCCACCGAGGCCAAAGACCGCAACCGAAGAGCCGGGCTCGACCTTGGCCGTGTTAGTCACGGCGCCGATGCCGGTCGTGATGCCGCACCCGAGCAAACACACTTTGTCCAGCGGCGCAGTTGGATTGATCTTGGCGAGTGCGATTTCGGGCACAACCGTGTACTGCGAAAACGTCGAGGTGCCCATGTAGTGGAACAGCTCCATGCCGTCCGAAGCGCGAGTGAAGCGCGACGAGCCGTCGGGCATGAAGCCGGCACCCTGAGTCTCGCGAATCGACTGACAAAGGTTGGTGCCCTTGGGATGGGTGCAGAACGAGCACGTTCCGCACTCGGGCACGTACAGCGGGATGACCGTGTCGCCCTCGACCAGCCCCTCCACACCCTCGCCCACAGCCTCAACCACGCCAGCACCCTCGTGACCCAGAATCGCCGGAAAAAGACCCTCGGGATCATCGCCCGAGAGAGTAAAGGCATCAGTGTGACACACGCCCGTCGCCGCCAGTCGCACACGGACTTCGCCAGGCGCAGGCGGAGCCACAACCACGTCCTCCACCACAAGCGGCTGCCCCGGCTCGTAGGCAATAGCTGCTTTGCACGTCACGCTCGAGCTCGACCGGGCCTGTCCTCCACCAAGCCGCCGTCCGGCGAGGGAGAGTGTTGCCAGCGCACGGAACATGGGTCTACGACTTGGTCCTGGCCTGCGTCTAGCGAGTGCAGTGTGACCATCACCGAAAGCGATCGACAAGCAGATAACGACAGAGAGAGCGCGCGTGCGTGCCTTGATGTGCGAGGGGTGGAGAGCAGTAACCTGAGGCCATGAAACGGAACGATTAGCATGGTGGAATGAGGTGCCGCGTGCGTAGAGTCGGCGATTGGTGGCGGCTTGGCTAACGTGTGTCCGCTCATGCCGGCACTTGTTCCTGACCGACAAGTCGTCACCCACGCTCACGCCCACGACTACGCCCACGCCCACGCCCACGCACACAGACATACAGCCCTCTCACCCGGTTTGCACCACATGCTACATTGGCGGGGCGGGGGTGACCTCGGTGGAAGGGCCGGGGCGGGGGTACAGGTCGGAAGCGGCGGCGGGCGACAGCGGGGACCGTGGCAGTGAGAGACGGGCGACAAGGACGGCAAGCAAGACGACGATGCGGTGGTAGTGCTCGAGGTGGTGGCCGATGGCGTGGGAGAGGAGGCAGAGCTGGCAGCGCTGGATGGGAAAGGCGAGGAGGGAAAGGCTGGCGAACGACGCGGATGCAGATGCAGGCGGCGTGGCTCGGAGTGGAGGCGGCGGCGATGGCGGACGCGTCGCGGCGTAGGGGAGCGCATGCTGCAGCGAGTGGCACGGGCCGAGTGGCGGAGAGCCGGCGGTGGCGAAAGTGGCGATATACCTGACTCGATAGGAGCCAGGGCAGCATCCAAATCGGAGACGGACCAGGTGGTGTTGAACGAGGTGGCGAAGCAGATCAAGGACTTGGTCAATGCCATTGTGAAGCAGGCGATGGAGGCTGCGGACACCATTCGCGAGCGGGAGAGTAGCATTCACAAGCTCACGATGCAACTTGCTAGCGCGGGCATCATGCCTGCGACGATGGCCACAAACGTCGCTAACAGCTCGCGGACGCGGACCGACTCGGAGAAGGCAGCATGAGCGCTGATGGGATTATTACAATCCTCATGGATGACGGCTTGTCTCGCAACTCCTGAGTGGTAGCGACAATAGGAACACATACTCCCGAGCACCCGCATAACAGTCGCAAGGCGAATACCAACCATCAGTACCGATTCTCCCCTCTCCCCCCCCCCCCTCCGCCCGCCGCCGGCCAAACTCTCAACGCCATCCATCACCATCACCCCGCCACACCCCACTCCCCCCCCCCCACACCCCCCCCACCCCCACCACCCCCCACCACCAACAACCATGCTCTCCCGCAATGAAGCAAAGTTTATCAGGAGAGCAATTGTGTCTGGAGTTCGTACTGATGGACGGGCACTGCTGGACGTCCGTGCGGCAAAGGTGACGTTTGGCGAGGTCTACGGCCAGGCAGAGGCACACCTGGGTACCACACGAGTTCTGGCGGTGGTCTCGGGCGAGCTGGTCGAGCCTGCTCCTGATCGGCCCACAGATGGCTCATATCTGTTCTTTTGCGAGGCTTCTGGTCTCGATTCCGCCACCGGCACTGTCGATCATAAGGCAAGGGCGTCGAGGACTGCCATCGCCAGCTTTGTGGAGAAGATGCTGCGAGACTCGGGCGCAATCGAGTCCGAGTCGCTCTGCGTTGTCGCGGGTCAGTGGGTTTGGGCCATTCGTGTCGACATTCATGTCCTTGATGACGACGGCAATGTTCATGATGCTGCCGCTCTGGCCACCGTTGCTGCCATGCTCCACTTTAAGCGGCCAGACACCTCGGTCGATGCCGCAGGCAACCTGGTTGTCCATCCCATGACCGAGAAGACTCCGCTTGGGCTCACCCTCCATCACATTCCGTTTTGCGTCTCGTTTGCGTTTTTCATCCCGCCTGCTGACGCCGAGGCCAGGCCCAAGTCACGGGACGCCAAGCCGCGCAACCTGTATGTTGTCGATCCGTCGGCCAAAGAAGAGGCGCTTGCCGACGCCCGGGCCATCTTTGCTCTCAACGTCCACGAGGAGGTGTGTGGCGTGGCCAAGCTTGGCGGCCTCCCACTCAGCGTGCTCGAGATGAAGCAGGCCTCGCGGATTGCCGCCGTCAAGGTCGCCGAGCTTGCCGAGCTCCTCGAAGCCGCCCTCAAGGCCGAGGCTGCGCGCCAACTGCATCTGCGTGCCCCGACCGCCGAGCCGACCACCGCTCGCCCGTCGTCGGTCGGCACCTACGTCATCGGCGCCGCCCGCGTCGAGGGTGGCGCCGACGTCGCCGCCGTCACCCAGTTCTCCGCCGTCAACGAGACCCCCGTCGTCGGCCAAGGCAACTCGCTCTTCTCTCAGCTCCCGGCCGCCCAGTCACTCGCCGAGACCGACACCTCGCTCCAGTCGCGCCTCGCCCAGTTCGAGGTCCAGCTCGAGGACATGGTCCATCGCTCGGACTTTATCATGCCCAGCACCTCGCCCACCGGTGCCTCGGACACTACCGGTGACCATGCCCACGACCACGATGACGACGCTGCCGCTGTCGCCGCCATCGTCAACGATGCTGCCAACTATAACCTCGGCGATGACGACGACGACGACGACGAGGAGGAAGTCACCATGATGCTTCATGGCTCGGTGGCGTAGTAAGTCACCCTCCTCCTCCTCCGCAACCTCACACTCTCCACCAACTCCCCTCCTTCCACCTCGACCCCATCAAAACACCCTCAAACCACCTGCCGCCCGTCGCCCGCCACTGCGCCACCCAACGCTGCCCTCCCGCCTGTCACCCCCCGCAGCCACTTCACCCCCCCCCCCCCCACCCACACACACTCGCACACACACCCCACCCCTCCCAAGTCATGGCCCTCCCCTCGGAAGCGGCCAATGCGCTTCATGAGCTGTACTCCTTCCACGGGACTTTCCACACCAAGCTCTCATCGTTGCTCGCCCTCCCGGCAGCCAGCGAGGGCTGGCAAGGCGGGAAGAGCTCAAAGTACGGCAGTGAGCTCCGAAGCCTCCTTCCGATTGATACACTTGCTGCCATCAGTGCTGTTCATGAGTCATCACCACTTCCATCCCTTCCAGATGGTGTTGTTCTCGGTCCGTCTGGTACTGACGTGCCTACAGAGGTGCTCTCCTCGGTCTTTGCGTACTACTCGGACGATGCTGTCATTCAAGATCTGGCTATCTATCTCGAGTATGTCGTCGAGTGGGAGCGCGTGTCGGAGAGAGTCAAGTCGGCCATGGCTTCTCAAGGATTTGTCACCTACTACACAGACTTGGCTCGGGATGCTCTTCCGCCGGACTGCGCCTCTCGCTCGCTGCTCAACCTCCTCTACGCGCCCATCGCTCACGTCTTTCACATCAAGAACATCATGGAGCGCCTTGCCCGCGCCCGATGCGAGAAAGACCGCGTTGCCGCCGCTGGCGCCCTTGCCCAGGCCGAGACCACGCTGGATGACTCGGGGCCGTGGCCAGCCAACGCCTCGCGCGCCGCCAAGCACATCAAGACCTCGGGCTGCGACGCGTGCACCGCGTACCACGCAGTCGCGCGACTCATCGCACGCATCAACAACGCCATGGCACAGGTCAAGGCCTTCTCCCTGGTCATGTCGCTTGCCGCAAAGCTCAAGTCGTCCGAGCAGAGCCTGTTTGAGCACGGCATTGTCGACCGCCGCCACATTCTGTCCGGTGACGTGCTGCGGTACAAGGGCGTGGTGGCGGCACCGACCGAGGCGGCAGCCGGTGCCAGCGGAGACCTTGTCCCTCCGACCATCACTGCTCCGTCGCCTACCCCGTCGCTCTCCCGCGACGACATGCCGGTCGAATCGGACACCGAGCCACGCGGCGAGAGCAGCTCGCCACCACCGGGTGTCTCGCAGCTCTCGATTACCCACGACGCCGTCTCCGAGACGACGTCGCGGCGCGGCTCGGTGAGCTCGCTGTTTGGCGGAGGTGGAGCAAGCCCGGGCGTGAGCGTGAGTGGGCCAGCAACGCCGGCCTCGGGGCGACGCAGCTCCGACTTTGGTCGGCTCCACTCGGTGCTGGTCGGCGGCGCGTCGCCACTCCCACAGTCCACAGCGTCGAACCCGCTCAATGCCTCCCTCGGCTCGGCGAATTTGTCGGCGGCGCCCAAGACCTCCGGGCGCCTCCTCACTACAACGCTGCACATGTTCAGCGACTGCATCCTCACCGAGACCAAGGGCAAGCGCGGCAAGACCGTGGTCGAGATCCTGTGCTCGATGTCCGCCATTCGGGTCTTTCCTTCCCAGACCAACCCGTGCGAGTTTGTGGTCCGCCGCATGGTCCGCGGACTGACCTTTGAGGACATTCACTTTCAGGCACGGGCGCCAGTGGTTGCCGCCGACTGGGTAGCCCGCATTCGATCAGCCATCCAGGACGATTTCGTGCTGTACGCACCCGAGATTGTGACCCGAGCCATGCCTGCCGAGCCGCCGCTCCTCTCGCCGACTGTCTCCTCGCCGCGATCACCAGACGGCTCGGTATTTTCCGGACTCGTCTCACCCAAGTCGCCGGCCCAGGCCATGGCCGACGCTGACGCGTCGGCGCAAAAGCTCAAGGCCTCAACCGACGCCCGCATCGCGTCGCTCATGTCGGTCATTGCCAAGCTCCGCGCTGAAAACGCGGCACTGGCGGCCGAGGTGGCTGATGCTAGCGCTCCGGTCGCCGAAATGGCGAGCGGAAGCACAAGCATGACCGAGAGCGAGCACAACGCGGCTCTGGCGTGGCGAACGAGATACGCCCACGAAGTCCGCGCCAAGCGCGCGGCGCTCGAGGAGCTGGCATCAGTTCGCGAGGCGCTGGCACGGGCGCAAGCGTCGGTGGCGCGGTCCACAGTGTATGCGCGCGACGATCTCGACGAGCCGCGATCAGTCATTGCCAAGCTGCGGCTGAAGCTCGATGCACAGGAGCGGCAGTTGGCTGCCGCATCGCGGAAGGGCAAAGAGCTGGCGGCGGCCAAGGCATACTCGGACGACGAGCTCCAACGGCTGCGGCTCGAGTGGGCCAACATCGAGGCCGAGCAGGCCCGGCTGACAAAGGCGCAAGCCGAGGTGGCGAGCATGGCCGGCGCCGCAGCCGAGCGCGACAGACTCGCCGATGAACTGCAGGTAGTGACTCGGCAAGTGGCGCAGCTGCAGGCCGACGTCATGGCCGCGCGCGATGCCGCACGGACGGCTCAGGCGTCGGCGGCGGTGCGCGATGACGCACAACAGGCCACCGAGCTCAAAATTGACAGGGCAGTCCGCTCGCTGCGGCGAAACGAGGAGCTGCTCAATGAGCTACTGGCAGCCGGCCACACGCCTGCAGCGGCGGTGGTCGAGCAAGCGTACGCCGAGGTCCAGGCGGCGCGGGAAGACATGACGTCGATGCCCGGGGTGAGCGCGCGGCTCGGCGACTCGCTGGCGTCGTCACAGATGATGATGCCGTCGCCGCGGACGCCCGGCGGGCGGCTTGCGTCGCCGGTGCGGTCTGCGCCGTCGACTCGGCCGCGTCTCCACCAGACCGCCTCGCTTGACGACCTCTATGCACAGTTTGAAGTGCTCGAGGAGGAGAACGCTTACCTAGTCCGTGAGCGGAGCGCGCTCTTTGCCGAGCTCAACTCGTCGCGCGACTCGCTGGCCAAGCTCGAATCGACCTTTGACGCACTCCTCGATCGCAAGGACTCGGAGGTTCGCACAGCCCACGCCGCAGCAGAGAGCCTCTCAGGCCAGGTCGCGCAGTGGAAGCGGGCGTTTGAGGCCGCAGTCGGCAGTGGCAGCCCCGGTTCCGGGAGCAGGGGTGAGTACAGATGACGCTACTCATCGTGGGTAGCGAGAGCGTGGTAGGCTGAACGTGTGCACCAGTAGCAACAGAGCGTTCTGGTGATGAGGGTGAGATACGTACTCGGCCGCGCACCACCAGTGGGCGAAGCCGAGGCCGAGCCGCGGGAGCGGCCTGGTTCGTCGTCGTAGTCGTGAGCCGAGACGGCCGAGACAAAGCCGAGCTCAAAGTTGTTGGTCTCGACCGAGCGAGCCCGTGAGCGGTGAAGCTCGGGCGAGCGGGCGAGCGAGGCGCCACCCCACTCAGAGGCCGAGCCCGCACCGGCGTCAAAGTAAAGCGAGACTCCCGAGGCAGCCGAGTGCTCGCCGTCGTCAAAGGCGGAGCGAGCACCGATGCCCATCGACGGCGCTGCGCCGGCACCGTACTGCAGACGCACTGCGTTCCAAGCCTCCACCACCGCCGGGAGCTTCGAGTATGTCTCCTGGAGGCCGTTGATGATGAGTCGCTCCACAACCGAGCCAACGCCCCAGACGGCGACAGCGACGGAGCCCTCGCAGATCTGAAGGCACGAGCCATCACCTTGAGGAACAATACGAACGGTACCCTTGATCTTTGTCTTCTCGGTAAAGACGGAGACGGCAGTGGTGAAGGACCATGCGTAGGGCGGGACGACGGGAGCGATTTCGATGGTATCGACGAGGACAAATGATTCTGATCCGACCATGTTCTTGACCATAGATGGCAGAGCCATGTTCGGCTTTGTCTGCACTCTCGAGTAAGAGAAGCCATTCTCATTCCATGACTCTAGATCTTCCATAGACTCCAAGTTGAGCACAGCGCACATCTGATCGCGGAAGCCAGCCGTGTCCTTCTCGGCCCAGTACGTGTGGGCGTCCATACCCAGCCGGGCTTCAATCCGGAACTCACGCATAGGGGGAGGTGGGGGAACCAAGGGAGGGAGGATATGTGGGGGAGGGGTTGCAGGGAGGGGGGCAGGTGTGGGTGTGGGGAGTGGCGTGGGGGTAGGAGAGGACGAGGGAAGGGGGCGGGAGAGGAGGCGGATGGGGGAGGGGAGGGCCTGCCACGTCGAGGGGATCGGAGGCGGGATCGAGGAGGCGGGGGACCCTGCGCTGGAGTCTGGCGATGTGGATGCGCATGTGGGTGTATTAGCTAGTGTGGAGGGGCTACTTCCGGGAGGGTGGCGCGATGGAGCGGACCATCTTCTTGCGCTTGCGCTTGCGCTTGCGGCCAAAGGTGATGGGCTTGCCGTGCTTGTCCTTGAGGGTAAAGGCGAGGAGGGCGCCAAGGGCGGAGACAACGCCCGAGACCGAGATGAAGAACCCGACAGAGAACTGCTCCATGACGGGCCCGCCGACAAACGAGACAAAGAGCTGGGCGATGGCAAGCGAGACGTTGATGATCGAGGTGAAGAGGCCAGCCTCGTGCTTTTCGGCGACCAGGCCGGCGACGGCGTAGGGCACGACGGAGAGCGAGGCGTAGGCGAGGCCGTAGCCGACAATGATGGCGAGGGCGGCGTACCACTTGGTCTTGATCCACATGCATCCGATGCAGCCGGCGGCAAAGAGCGAGAGCGAGCCAAAGAGGGTGACCTTGAGCGAGGTGGCGCGCATGACCCGCGGGAGGAGCGAGGACCAAACGAGGGTCACCATCGACGAGCCGGCAAAGCAAAGTGAGGCAAACCGGACGCCATCCTCGTAGTCACGGTAGGCGGGGGTGGTGACCGGGGCGTTGACATCGCCGTTGAAGACGACTGAGCCACACCAGTCTGAAATGAAGAACAGAAAGGCGAGGACACCGACCCACTGGGTGATGGTCATGAGCATGAGGCGGACCATGACCCGCGGGAGGCCCATGATGGCCTGGATGGTCTCGACAAAGCCGAGCATGACCTCATCGTCATCGTCATCGTTATCGTCGTCTTCCGCGGCGGGCGCAGGCGCGAGTGGTCCGCCGGCCGCGTCAGCCGCGGTGGTTTGGACGTGACTAAGCAGAGGCGCAGTCTCGGATGGCTCCGGGGCGAAGACGACGCCTGGACGGGAGGTGTCACCGCGCGAGCCCGAATACGCCAGCGTGGCGCACCCGCCAGTCTCGATGTCTGCAGAAGGCAGCTCGTTGTACGCGGCAATGTATGACGGAAGGTCGTCTTCGTCGTCGTCGACGACAATGCCTGGGCCGGGCCCGACGAGAGGAACTACCGTCGCCGGTGGCGACGAGGCATCCTCGGCAGCCTCGTTGAGGAGCGAGGTGATGCCCTCGGGGTTGGTGGTAAACGCCGCAACAAGGTCTGCTGCCGTCTGGGTGGAGGGTGAGAAGAGGAGCTCGTCATGGTCGTGGTCACAGATGGCCTCGCCATCGGCAGAGTTCGTGTCGCTCGACGACGGGGCCGGGCCGAGGCCGAGCGCTGGGTGGATCGGCCGCGGCGAGGCCGGGCCCGGGCCCGGCTGCTCTGAAGTGAGAAACGCGACGCGCTTGGACCATTCTGCGGCGCGTACAAGAGCGGGATCGTCCTCGGGCGAGTCGTGGGGCGAGTCAGGATTGGAGAGCGACGGCGAGTGGGCCTCAATGTTGCCGTCGACGGTCCGGTGGGCGATGGAGGCGACGAGGTCGCCCACGTCAATTACATTGTCGTCGCAGAGCGGCGGCGGGGCGGCTTCCTCGTCGTCGTCGACGACGACCCACTGCGACTCACGGGCGACGACGTTGGTGACGATGACGGAGAGGAGGAGGACAAAGGCGACGAGAGTGAAGAGGGCCTGGGCGTTGGATCCAAGGAACGTGAGGTACTCGCCCATGCGGAGGCCGCCGAGCAGATAGCCGAGCGCCGCCCCGGTGCCTTGCAGGCCTGCGTAGATGGCGTGTGCGCGGTTTTGGCGGTAGGGCGGAACGGCGTCGACGAGGAGCGAGCGGGCCGGGAGCATGAGGGTGTCGAGGCCAAAGTCCATGAGGAAGAAGAAGACCACAGCCATGGGGATTGTGATGGCGTGGTTGTTGTGACTCGGTGTCGTCGTGCCATACACCATTTGATTGACGCGGGTAAAAGCGCCGAGGCCAAGGATGGCCACAGCGCCAAAGAAGATAACAAAGGGCCGGCGGCGGCCGAGTCGCGAGGTGCAGGTGTCGGACATGCCAGCGATGAGCGGCTGGACAAAGATGCCGAGAATGGGCGAGAGGCAGTACACAAACGAGACATATCGGAGCGGAAGGCCGAGCTGGAGGAAGATGGGTGCTGCGTACATGGCTTCGATGGCGTAGCCAAGCTCGAGACCCCAGCCGACGGCCGAGAGAGAGACGAGGAAGGAGACCGAGGCAAGCGGCGCATCAACCGAGCCAACCGAATACGAAGCCAGCGAGGGCACAGCATGAGTCATTGACTTGGGCGTCTTTGATGCCACATACCGAGTTCCTGGCCAGTTGAAGCCAAGCGATCGAGCTGTGGGCGTGCCGGGCATCGGCGGCGGTTCCGGCGGGACAAAGCTGGCTGGCGCACGGCTTGAGTTCTGGATGGAGAAGATGGCTCCGCCTCCTCCACCGTTTCCATGCAGTGCCTTGCCACTTGGTGTGGACATCGACGACCGTATGTATGTCCCATGCGTCTGGTTATCATTGTCTGACATGGATGTCTCTGTCCTCTATTGTAAGTCGAGTGTGGCTGTCTGCGGGAGCGGTGGCAGTGAGACATACTCGAGGCGCCGGGATGGGCTCTTCTGACAGTGGCCAAAGTCGGTGACAGCGTGACCCAAGTCAGGGGCGGGGGGGGGGGGGGGGGGGGGGGGAGGGGTGACTGATGAGGATAGGAATGGGAATGGGGAGGATGTGGCCCATATCTTGGATGAGAGCGGGAGGCGATGGTGGCGATGGTGGCGATGGTGGCGATGGTGGCGACGGCGGCGATGGCGGCGATGGCGGCAGTGGCATTGGCGGGCGACTGGGCCGCCAGACTGCCAGGCCGGGCAAAGCCGATCGCGACTCGCCCGACTCGCCCGACTCGCCCGGCACACGTCGGACTCCACGCCACTCTGCCGCAACTCGACCAGGGGACAGAGATGGGCAACACGACGTCGAGTCAGGACGCACGATATGAGCAGGCTGGAGAAGGCGGGAAGGCTTGCGGCAAAGAGGCCCGGGTCAATACTCGGCCCGGCGAGGTGGCGTGCAAGTCCAAGGCGTGTGCCATCCAGACCTGCCTGGCCGAGAAGGACTACGATCAGGAGGCGTGTACCGATGTCATCGATGCCTACTTTGCATGCATGGCCAAGCATGGTGACAAGGCCAAGAAGAATGTGCCTGCGTGATGGTACCTTACTTTATGCTGCTGTCACAACGAGATGGAGACCTCGGACGACGACGAACCATCGATGGGCGGTGGCGTGGCGGCCGAGGTAAGGCGCGGTGGCGGCGCAGGCGCGAGGAGCATTGCCTGGGCATCGGCGTCTGGGTCGGAGCGGGCGCCGAGGATGTCGAGCTCGACGTCGACAAGAAAATCGTCCGAGCCGCTGCTGGCGCCGGAACCAGCAGCGACCGGGAGCGGCGCGCCGAGCGGGCCGTCCAGCAGCGGATCGGACCCGTCGAGCTGTGCGTAGCCCGAGGCGGCTACGCGCGCAGCCTCGGCACGCTGCTTGTCGCGGATGCGGGTGTACGAGTAGAGGAGCGCGCCGAGAAAGGCGATGGTCATGCCGACCGCCACCCGCGCGTTGAGCGGGTCGCGGAAGATGACCACCGCCGCCGCAGTCACCACTACAATCTTGAACGAGCCCGCAATCTGCGCTGTGATGGCGTTCGTCTTGCCGATCAGCAGAATCTCGGAGAGAATGAGCATAAAGGCAAAGCAGACGCCGAGCGAGACGAGGGCGAGTGCTGTGGCCAGACTCTCCAGCGAGAGCGCGAGAATGGTGGGCAGCTCCATTGCCATGGCCGGAACAAAGAGAAAGACAAAGACCGACGGCGCAATGACGCCCATCAGCTGGACAGGATGCGCGTCCTTGAGAGTCTTTTGGTAGAGGACCTGGAAGAGGAGCAGCTTGATGGCGGCGGCGAGCGAGGCGACGCAGAGGAGGACAAAGCCAAGAAACGAAAAGGTGGTATCAGCCCAGGCCGAGACAGCGATGCCACACACAACCAGCGCACACGATGCCGCCACCAGAAACGACGGCTTGACGAGACCCAAAGCAAAGGAGAGGCCAACGATCCATGCGGCGACCTGAGTCTTGACCAGCTGGCCAAAGGAGACGGTGACAAAGAGGTAGGCGGCATTGGTGGCGCCAAGATCGATGGACATGGCCAAGCCTACCGGAAGCACTTGCTTGGCATACACAGAGTACGATGAGAACTGAGGCCATTCTCTCTTGGTAATAGTGGAGAAGGCCCTTGCAAAGCCATACACCCCCGCCTGATGGAAGAGGAGCATAGTGAGCGGGAAGGGCACGCCAGCATACGACAGCAGGTACTTGTTGTACAGCGTGATGGCCGACGAGGCGAGGTAGAAGAACAGCACGCACTGTGTTGTCGTCACCCACGACGTTGAGAGTCGACTGTTCTCCCCATGCATGGCCGACGTTGGTGGTAGAGTGGTGGTGTGCGGCTGTGTGGCTGTGTCTATAGCTGTCGGTGGGAGAGCATGTGTGGTGAGCCGGCCGAGATCTGAGCGATACATACCGCACACCGCAGCGGGAGAGGGGGGGGGGGGGATCGGATGATATAAGGAGAGTAAGAGGTAATGGCCAAGGTGGTTGCACTTGTGGTGTGGTGGATGTGATGGCGGACTGAGGACGGATGCCACAAAGGCCATGGGCAGGATCCCGCATGCTAGCATGCAAGAGGGGGTGGCGGGGGGGGGGGATCATCGTCGAACAGTATCCATCGGTTGTAGATCGTGGTCAAGTATGGTGCATGGGAGTGTGCGTGGCGTACGTTGCTTGGTATCGTCTGCCGAGCTCGACCATGCATGCCCTGGCGAATGCCCGCGCGTAGGCAGGCGGATGGCCCTCATGTACCGTGGCCTCTCACACCCACGCCGAGGAGCCTCTGGTCTCTCCCCTGTACCACTTCACCCCCTCAGGGACCATGGCCACTATCACCTTCTCCCTCGCATACGTCGCCACGTCGGTCTCCACCCCCGCAGACGCTACACTTGTGGTACCCATGTCGGTCATCGCCGAAGCAGCCGAGTCTGCCGCCGACGACAACATTCTCGACGCAGCACTAGAAGAGCTGCTGCTAGGCATGATCGACGGGGTAGACAGCGGATCTTCCATCGCTGGCTTTACAGACAAGGTGGCCTACCCCATTGTCTATCCGCTCTCGCTACTGGGTCGTTACGCCGAGAGCATAGCCGCAGCGACTCGGCCCGCTCCTTGCGGCCGCAGCGGCGTCGACCTTGCGCTGAGGATCGTCCTTCCTGGAGCACGCCAGGATGCCGCTGTGCGCTCTTCGATAACGCATGGGGTCGCAGGATGGGAGCAACGTGTGCTGGACGCCATGATGGCGAGGGGATTTGCACTCATCGAGCTCGATGACGAGTTTGCCGACGTCATGCGCAACGCTGCCGCTGCTGCCGACGCCTTCTTCAGCCTCCCACTGAGGGAAAAGTTCAAGTGTGCCCGCGACGAGATGATCGAAGGCTACGGGTTCATCAACCGCGGCCGCGAAGTGTATAATGTCCAGGAGCGGTTTGTCGAGCTCGACGGCTCCGACTTTGCCTCGTCGAGCGCCGGCTCGGTCTCGAGCTCCGGCTCGGACTCGGACGAGTCGGACGTGCTTGGCGTCCAGCGCGATCCGTGGCCGCGGTCGCTTGGCACTGACTTTCGCGAGACAATCGAGGGCGCACTGACGCGCCTCAAGGCTCTTGCGCGCGAGTGCCTCGGTGGCGTCGGCTCTGCTACCGGCCTCGACGAAGACCGACTCGACGCTCTCGTCCACGTCCCACCGGTTGTCGACGAGGTCTATGGCTTCCGCACCACCCTGCGGCTTCTGAAGTACTACCAAGGCGTGCCGTTTGACAACGAGCGTGCCGAAGATGGCTCGTCTGACGACGACCTGTGGGACCCGGAGATGTTTGCCTTTACCCGTGGCGACGCCCGCTGCATCGAGCACGGCGACTCGACGCTGCTCACCGTCGCGCCGGTATCTGCCGTTGCCGAGCTGCAGGTCGTCGACCGCGCAACAGGACGGTGGGCCAATGTCGAGGCGCTGCATCCGCCCGCAGCAGATCACGCTCGCTATGCTGTCGTCTTCCCGGGCTACTACGGTGCGTGGCTGACCAACGGTACACTCGCGGCGTCGCTCCATCGCGTCGAGTCGTGCGCCGCGTCGGCTGATCGCGTCTCGATGCCGTTCTTTCTCCGCGTCGAGCCGCGAGTCCCAGTCCACCCCATCCCAGTTTCCGGCCCGCCTCGCACTTCTGCCAACGAAGCGTACATCCTCAATCAGTGCTCCGTCGTTCCGCAGTTTGCCACCTGGCTGACCCGGTATCCGCTGTGGACCAAGTTCAAGCCGCCATCGGCAACCACCAGTGACACTCCGGCAGCCTCGGATCCGACGGTGGCCTAGCATGCACTGCTATCGGCTGCGCGCAGTGCCTGTACAGCTATCGGCAGCCTCGCGCCTGGCCTTTCCGCCGTTCTCTGAAAACCCTCTGCATTTCTTTCGTGCCTGCCTATTTTCGGCACTTTGTCGCCATGGCCAACGAGGCTGGCGTCGACATCTCAGACTACACGTCGTCCTCGCTCTGCCAGTTTGCCATGATTGCCGCGATGTCAGTATCGCAAGTCGACACTGGCATAGCATGGCCTCTAAAGCATATCCATTCGCATTATCACGCGGTGTCGCCCGCACGGACCTCCATCGTCCCGAACAATCGGATGGCTTTTCCGCGACGGTTCTCAGTATGAGTCAGCCCACGCCGACAACGCCACTTGCCCACCACCAGTACCACCAGCACCACCAGCACCACCAACACCACACTTCTCGCACACAACCCATGTCGACCAAGACTCTGGCGTATGTCGCCATTGTATGCACCATGCTGTGTACGGTACTTACCTGTGTCACCCCCCCCCTCTCCCGCCTTCCGCCTTCCGTCTCCCACCTTCCCCACCTCCCGCCTCCCGCCACCACACCCATGACCACACTCACTTGATGGGAACTGATGCTACTTGTCACGTGCTGCCATGCTGTCGTGCTGTCATGCTGTCACGCCGTCATGCTGTCATGCGGTGGATCATACGATGGCTGTGAACATGGCTATCGCCTGCTGCCCCAACCTCCTCGATAACCTGTCGCCGACGGATCGGGCCACGCCCTCCTCCCGCTGCTGCTCCAATACTCTGGCTGTGACAACCTGCAGTGAGCATGGCACTGGCATGCTCGCGTACTGGTGAGCTTGCGACGTGCGAAGAATGCACCAAATCTGATTGCCAGTTCTGCAGATCATCCGGTCGCTGCGTCACGTCGACGGCGTCCTGCTCCGGCACGGTCGAGACATGCCAAGGCAGCGACATCAATGTTGGTGCCATCTCGGGAGCTGTCATTTCCGTCATTGTTTTCGGCATCATTGGCTTCACTCTCGTGTTCTGCTTCATGCGCTCCCGTAGGCGGGCGCGTGATCGCCGTGACGATTCCTCCGAGTACGACTCGGAGTACGACTCGGAGTCAGGACGCAGCCGCGGCCGCCGCGGCGCGCGTACCTCTGGTGCCATTTCTGGCCGCCGCGGGCGCAACTCGCGCAAGGGCAGCGGGCGCGGCGGACGCCACGCTCGTGAGACTGGCCGGCACTCGCGCAAGGGCCGCCACGAGCCCAAGTCCAGCCGCGGCTCGCGCTCGCGCTCGCGCTCAAAGTCGCGCGGCCGCGGTCGCGGGGGCAAGGGCTCGCGCAAGGGTCACACCACTCCGCCGCCGTCGCTCACGTCCGACTCGTCCGAGATTGCACAGAACCGCAAGAACCTGCTCGACGACGAGGCCGAGCTCAAGCGCGTGACCAAGGCCGCGTTCCGCAAGTACGACACTGACAAGTCCGGCAAGCTGTCGAAGGAGCAGACGCGCATGGCTGCCGACCGCGTGTGCGACAAGGCCTCGGTTCCGCGATTTACCGAGGACGAGTTCAACGAGTTCTTTGCCCAGATCGACACTGACGGCAACGGCGAGCTCGATCGCGTCGAGTTCAAGGGCTTTGTCACTATGGCCGTTGAGGCTGGTGTCGACCTCTCGGGCTACTCGTCGTCGCTCTAGCCTGCGAAGGGTGTCATGTCAGTACGACGGCTCGGTGACTCCGAACCATTCAGCATCGAGATCGCGAAGCCATTGCAGCTTGTCAGCCAGTTGCTGAGTGTCCGGCTCGCTGATGCCGACCTTGGGCTTGTCGGCGTTGTCGTAAAAGTCCATAGTAATGGTCAGCCCTGCGCCGTCGACGGCAGCCACGTTGCACTGCCCGCCCTCGGTGACCGACACCACAGGTGCGTCCCACGACGTCGACTCGCCTGCTGCAGCTGCGCGTGCGTCGGCGAGCACCGCTTGCACTGCCGTCTTGGCTTGGACCATGGCAAACTTGCCGGCCTTGGGCTGGACCTTGAGCCCGGCCTTGGCAAAGTTGACCTTGACCGTCGCCGAGTCTCCGATGACGTAAACGTGCGGCACGCTCGTCCGCAGGCTCTTGGGGTCGACCACCACAAAGCCACGCGGGTCGTCGATTGGCATCGCCTCACGCACAACCGCAGGGGCACGCTGCGGCAGCGTCGCCGCCAGGAGCGTGTACTCGAGGCTCTCGCCGTCGTCAAAGGTCACCGTCTTGTTGACGGCGTCCACAGCAGACGGCTGTGCCTTGGTCTTGAACTCGATGCCCTTGGCAGCCATCATGTCCTGGAAAACATGCGGAGCAAAGGGCGGGACAGCCTGGGCCATCGGCGTCGTCACCACCACACGGAACGCGTCGCGCTTGCCGGCCTCGCGCAGCACGGCATCAACGGCAAACGCAGCTTCATACGGCAGCGGCGGGCACTTGTACGGCAGACTCCCAACCGCCACCACTACCGTCCCGCTCTCGGCACGGAGCAGGGCTCCACGGAGCGCAACCATGTCGGCGGTGTCGCACAAGTTGAAGGCGGCATCGTTGAGGCCAGGCACAGCGTCGTAGTACTCGACACCCAGAGAGACAACCAGATCATCGTAACTGATCTCACCGGCCTTGGTCCGCACAACCTTGTTCTCGGTATCGATGCTCTGCACCACGTCCGGAACCAGTGCCACCCGAGAAAGATTGAGTCCGCCTGGTGCCACCGTCCGCGTCACTTGCTCAGCCTTGACCTTGCCCTTGAGGACCATGGGCGCAAAGGCGCCCACAACAGCAGGGCCTGGCGCAGAGACGAGGACCGCCTCCAGCAGAGCTGCGTCCTCCTCGCTGGCTTCCTCCACTGCCCGTGCCGCGGTAAGGCCGCCAAAGCCGGCGCCGAGGATGACCAGCTTGTGCTTCGTGTTGTTCGCTGCCATGTTGACGAGTGTTCGAGACAAATGAGCTACGCTCCCGCTCGCCCTCACTCCGTCCCGCGGCCCGCAGTCAACAACTGCGGATACTTGGTAGCTGATCTTCATTTACCTCTGTACCGACATGCTACGGCTCGGCGTATGCCTGATGGAGCTTCTTGCGACGCTCCTCTCGCTTGCGGACCCGCTCGAGCTTGTGAGCCATGGCCGCGATCTGCTCCTCAAGGATGGCGTTGCGCTCGTGGGCTTGCGATAGCGCCGAGTTGAGCGCCTCGACGTCGGGCGATGGCGTCGACGCGACAGCCTTGACTCGGTTGAGCAGCGACTTCATCTTGGAGCCAGACGAGGCCGCGGCAGGGGCCGGCTGCGCTTGTCGAGCCGCCGCAAGTGCTCGCTTGGCATCGTCGAGCTGCTCCTCGAGCTTCCAGCCGGCAGTCTGGAGCGCGGCGATGCGGTCGAGGAGCTTGGTGTTCTCCTCCTGCAGTGCCTCGACCGAGATTCCGACAGCCGACGCTGCCGATGCCGCCGCCGGATTTGCACTCTTCAGCTGGCTTTGAAGATCCTTGATGAGGTTTTGCGACTTGCGAGCATCGATCTTGGCCTTAGCCTTGGTGTCAGCCACCTCGCGCTTGAGCGCGTCGACCAGCTCGGCTGCCTCGGACGCAGTCGCCAGCTGTGCCTTGGCCTCCTCCAGCTCGGCCGACATCGTCTCGGACAGAGACGTTGATGTATGAAGATCGGCCCTGGCGCTGTCAAGGTCGGCAGCAAGCCTGTTGTTCGCGGCCTCCAGCTCGTCGCAGCGAGCAGAGGCGGCCTCGAGTGCGGGTGCGAGAGAGCGAAGCGTGTCGAGCTCGGTCTGTGCAGCTGCGAGCAACTCGGCAGTCTTGGTCGACGAGGATTGCAGCGCATCGTGGGCGGCAGCCAGCTCGTCACAGGCTGCTGAAACAGTCTCCAGAGAAGCAGTTAGACTGTCGGCGTGCGCTGTTGCCTCGGCAAGCTGGGCATTGGCATCAGCAAGCTCAACAGTAAGCCGGTCAGCGCGAGTGGACACGTTGGCCAGCTCAGAGGTGGCAGTGGCGAGTGAGCAAGTGGCAGCATCGCCAGCCGTCACAGCAGCATTGAGCTCGCCCTGCAGCCTCTCGCACTCGGCCTGTGCAGCCACAACCTGAGCGCGAAGCTCGTCGCGCTCCGCAAGAACGTCATCGAGTTGGCCCTTGAGCAAGGACTGCGCCTGACCCGCATCCGTGGTAGTGGCCGCAAGGGCGTCCTCAATACGTTGCCGCGAGGAGATGACCTCTTCAAGGCGGCTTTCGAGGCCAGCGTGCTCTTTGCGGAGTGCGGCGAGCTCGGTTGCGGTGGCGTCGTGCGAGGCTGAAGATGCGGCAAGAGCACTTGTCTTGGAGTCCAGCTCTAAAGTGAGCGTCTCCACCTTGCTTGCCATCGTTTCGTTGACAGCAGTGAGGGCGTCGAGGTTCTTGCGCGTCGCCGCCAGCTCGTCAGCGAGGCTGGCCTTGGTATGCGACAGAGACTCGAACGCGGTCGACGTGCCGGCGATCTTGACCTCGGCTTCCTCGAGCTTTGACTGCAGCTCGGCAACGGTACTGGCGGCAGTTGACTTGGCGGCTTCCAACTGGGAACGGAGATCCTGGGCCTCGCCGGAGGTGTCGGCCGCGGCAGTCTGGGCGGTCTCCAGTTGTGACTGGAGGGACTCGATCTTGGCTGTCGTTGTGGCAGTTGCCTCCTTCTCAGTCTCGAGCTGTGTCTTGAGGGCCTCGATCTCGGCCTCGGTGTCGGCCGCGGCAGTCTGGGCGGTCTCCAGCTGCGACTGCATGTTCTCGGCCTTGTTAACCGCGACGGCAGTTGCCTCCTTCTCAGTCTCGAGCTGTGTCTTGAGGGCCTCGATCTCGGCCTCGGTGTCGGCCGCGGCAGTCTGGGCGGTCTCCAGCTGCGACTGCATGTTCTCGGCCTTGTTAACCGCGACGGCAGTTGCCTCCTTCTCAGTCTCGAGCTGTGTCTTGAGGGCCTCGATCTCGGCCTCGGTGTCGGCCGCGGCACTCTGGGCGGTCTCCAGCTGCGACTGAAGGGACTCGATCTTGGCTGTCGTTGTGGCAGTTGCCTCCTTCTCAGTCTCGAGCTGTGTCTTGAGGGCCTCGATCTCGGCCTCGGTGTCGGCCGCGGCACTCTGGGCGGTCTCCAGCTGCGACTGAAGGGCCTCTATCTTGGCCGCCGCTGTGGCAGTTGCCTCCTTCTCAGTCTCGAGCTGTGTCTTGAGGGCCTCGATCTCGGCCTCGGTGCCGGCCGCGGCAGTCTGGGCGGTCTCCAGCTGCGACTGCATGTTCTCGGCCTTGTTAACCGCGACGGCAGTTGCCTCCTTCTCAGTCTCGAGCTGTGTCTTGAGGGCCTCGATCTCGGCCTCGGTGTCGGCCGCGGCAGTCTGGGCGGTCTCCAGCTGCGACTGCATGTTCTCGGCCTTGTTAACCGCGACGGCAGTTGCCTCCTTCTCAGTCTCGAGCTGTGTCTTGAGGGCCTCGATCTCGGCCTCGGTGTCGGCCGCGGCAGTCTGGGCGGTCTCCAGCTGCGACTGCATGTTCTCGGCCTTGTTAACCGCGACGGCAGTTGCCTCCTTCTCAGTCTCGAGCTGTGCCTTGAGCTCGGCCTCGGTGTTGGCGGCAGAAGACTTGGCGGCCTCCATCTCGCCGGTCAGCAACTCGACTTGCTTGGTCATGTCAACAACTGCTGCTTCAGACGCAGTCACCTTAGTATCCAGCTCGGCAATAGAAGCCTGCAGACGATCACGGTCCTTTGTAACAGCACTGAGCGCAGCACGGAACTCCTCTCGCTGCGCCTCGACTGCGCTAAGCGCGTGCGACTTGTCAGTATCGGACGCGTCGCGCTGCTTTAGTTGACACGCTGCGCCTGTCTCAGTCTCGAGCTGTGTCTGAGGGCCTCGATCTCGGCCTCGGTGCCGGCCGCGGCAGTCTGGGCGGTCTCCAGCTGCGACTGCATGTTCTCGGCCTTGTTAACCGCGACGGCAGTTGCCTCCTTCTCAGTCTCGAGCTGTGTCTTGAGGGCCTCGATCTCGGCCTCGGTGTCGGCCGCGGCAGTCTGGGCGGTCTCCAGCTGCGACTGCATGTTCTCGGCCTTGTTAACCGCGACGGCAGTTGCCTCCTTCTCAGTCTCGAGCTGTGTCTTGAGGGCCTCGATCTCGGCCTCGGTGTCGGCCGCGGCAGTCTGGGCGGTCTCCAGCTGCGACTGCATGTTCTCGGCCTTGTTAACCGCGACGGCAGTTGCCTCCTTCTCAGTCTCGAGCTGTGCCTTGAGCTCGGCCTCGGTGTTGGCGGCAGAAGACTTGGCGGCCTCCATCTCGCCGGTCAGCAACTCGACTTGCTTGGTCATGTCAACAACTGCTGCTTCAGACGCAGTCACCTTAGTATCCAGCTCGGCAATAGAAGCCTGCAGACGATCACGGTCCTTTGTAACAGCACTGAGCGCAGCACGGAACTCCTCTCGCTGCGCCTCGACTGCGCTAAGCGCGTGCGACTTGTCAGTATCGGACGCGTCGCGCTGCTTCTCCAGCTCACCCACACGCTCTGCGAGGACGTCGCGTGCCTCTTCCGCATCCCGAAGTGCAGCCGCTGTCGCCTCGCACTCGGTGCGCAGCGCTGCGAATTGACCTTCAAGCTCCACCTTGCTCGTCTCCAGTGCAGCTGTGCTAGCGGTAGCATCAGCCACCGCATTCTCCATCTCGTTAGCCTTGGCCTTGGTCTCTTCCACTGTGACATTTGACTTTTCCAGCGACGCCATCAAATCGGTATTCTCAGCCTTGGCTTGCTCGAGCTCGGCCTGCAGATTGGCCGTTACATCTTCGACCTCAATTCTCGCGGCCTCCAGCTCGGCCTGCAGCCTTGTGACGCGGTCGCCAGCATCGCACTTTGCCTGCTCCACCTCAGCCTGGGCCTTTTCCAGCGACGCCATCAGATCAGCGTTCTCGGCCTTCGCCTGTTCCATCTCGGCCTGCATGTTGACAAGCGATGCCGATGCATTTTCAACCTCAACTCTCGCTGCGTCCAGCTCGGCCTGCAGCTTTGCGACGCCGTCGCCAGCATCGCACTTTGCCTGCTCCACCTCAGCCTGGGCCTTTTCCAGCGAAGCCATCAGATCGGCATTCTCAGCCTTCAGATCGGCATTCTCAGCCTTAGCTTGCTCGAGCTCGGCCTGCAGATTGGCCGATACACCTTCAACCTCAACTCTTGCCGCGTCCAGCTCGGCCTGCAGCTTTGCGACGCCGTCGCCAACATCGCTATTTGCCTGCTCCACCTCAGCCTGTGCCTTTTCCAGCGACGCCATCAGATCGGCGTTCTCAGCCTTCACCTGCTCCATCTCAGCCAGTAGCTGCCCCATCTCAGCCTGTGCCTTTTCCAGCGACGCCGCTAGATCAGTGCTTTCGGCCTTCGCCTGCTTGACCTCAACCTGAAGCCTCGCCATCGATTCATCGTCCGCTCGAGCGTTTCCATCCAAGCCTACGAGCATCAGCTCACCATCGTCATCGTCATCGGCCTTGGCTGCTGGCGCTGCTGCAGGTGCGGGTGATGCGGCAAGCTGTGTCTCGAGGTCCTGCACTCGCTGCTCGTACTCCATCAGCTGCTCCATCTTGGCGGCGAGGATCTCTTGCGTGGCAACATTGCCCTCGTTGAGTTCCTCCACTCGCCTGGCAGCCGCTGCTGCCGCCTCATCTGCTGCCGCTAGCGCCGATCGCAGCCTCTCTAGTTCGGCATTGTGATCGGCATGGCTCTGTCCATCCACAGCCTCCACACCAGCACTGGCCAGCTGCTTCTTCAGCGCATCGTTTCCATAAACACACTCCGCATCGATTCTGCCATGGCCTGATGCCGTGTCTCGTACTCTGCCTCTGCCTGTCGCATCTCAGCCTTCATCTCCTCCACCTCCTCCACCAGCGCCTTGACTTTCTTCTTGTCCTTAGACTTGGCGATGACCTCTACACACTCTCACACCAATCATAAGTCATGTGATACATACCCCCTCGGCACAGATTTCCTTCTCCGTCCTCGCTCCTCCTGTCCCAACTCACGTACTCTGCGCCTTGCCAAGGTCCTTGGTCATCGTCTTGACCTCCTTGCGGAGCGCAGCCAGCTGAGCCTCGGCATGACTCCGACCCTCCTCGGCCTCGTGCGCAGCCTGTTTAGCGTTAATGAGCTCTGTCTGGAGCAAGCCAAACTCTTCTACGCTGAGTACCGACATGCCTACCACCTCGAGAGCAATGTCCTCTCCTCCCCTTCCCCTCACCCGCAGTCCCCTCCCTCTTCCCACCGCCACGCCCCTCATCGCCTAACGACCGATGACCACCACCACCACCACCACCACCACCACCACTACCACCACGACACAGATCAGGTCGGATCGATGGATCTCCACCACTACCCACCCACTCACCCACTCCATCCCACCTCCATTCCCTTGGCCCACCACCAACACACACATCACCCTTTCCCTCTCCCCTGCCTGCCTCTCACCCCCCCCCCCCCTCCCCTCGCCCCCTCTGCACCACCGCCCCCGCCCACCCCTCTTCCCACCTCCCCGCCGCATGTCGTCCGAGAACACAACGGCCAACTTGGTGGCCAACAAGCTTGCGCAACTTGAGCAGCAAGCTGCAGCCGAGAAGAAGCTGAACGCTGCTGTCCGTACGTCGCCGCATTACACCTCCCACATACCCTCCCTCGTCGCCACATACCTATTTTGGCGGGAACCGTTCATACGGTAGTTTTTCGCGCTCTTTCTCACACTCACGCTCTCCCCTGCGCTCCAGGGCAATACGTCAAGCGCGTCCACAAGGAGGCCAAGAGCTCTGCGGGTAAGTCCGCAAGCGATGCTGAGCTTGCCGAGGCGTACAAGACTGCACTCGGAAACGAGGCCGCGTCGGTGCGCAAGCTTGAGCTCGAGCTGGAGCAGGCTCAGGCTGAGTTGTCGGTGGAGAAGCGGGCCCGTCTGGCGACGCTGCAGGAGCTGACGGCGACCAAGAAGGTCCAGAGCACGCTAGAGGAGCTGAGCAAGCGGCTGCAGGACCGCGTCGCCGAGGAGCGGGCCCGCGCCGAGGCCTCCGATGCTGCCTCGGCCGAGATGAAGTCCAAGTACAACGAGATCTTCGAGGACATCACCAAGAAGATCGAAGACGAGGCTGCGTCGACCGAGGCCCGCTTCAAGGAGTCGCAGTTTGTCAAGCGCAAGCTCCTTGCCTTTATGCACAAGTACGAGGTCCGCGAGGAGCAGTACGCCAACGAGGCCAAGGCCGCCGCCATCGAGCTCGAGCTCGCAAACGTCAAGGTCGCACAGGCCCAGGAGGAGGCCAAGATGGCCCAGGCCCGCTTCATGGAGGTCATGCAAAAGTACGTCGTCCTTGAAAAGGTCGAGGCTCAGCAGGCCAAGCAGCTCGAGCTGTACGAGTCGCGCTTCAACGAGCTTTCCACCGTCGTCACCCAGTCGAACAACCTGCTCAAGCAGTACCAGACCGAGCACAAGGCCAACGTCAAGGCGCTCAACAAGGCCACCCGTGAGAACCAGAAGATCAAGGAGGCTGAGCTCAAGGCCACCATCAAGGCCCTTGAGCTCTCCAAGGACATCGAGGAGTACAAGCGCAAGGTTTCCACGCTCGAGAACCTCTGCCGTGCCCTTCAGGCCCGCTCCGCCGCCGCTCCGGCCGCCGCCACCGACAAAGCTGCCGACGAGGCCGCCGACGCTGCCGCCCCCCCTGCTGCAGACCAATGAATACGCTGCCCCGATGTTCAATTCTCCTCAGGTGCACGAGTATGGCGTGCCGGCGTCCGACGACGAGTACGACCGCGACGAGCTGGCCGACGAGTCGGATGCCGACCGCAGGTCCGGATGCGCGCCGCGGAGCCGCCGGACTGCACGCTTCTTGGTCGGATCCGAGACTTGGCTCTGGACCATCTCCTTGAACGAGATGCCGTACCGCTTGCCACCAGCCTTGATGATGACCTTGACCTTCTTTGGCTTCTTCTTGGCGTTCTTCTTGGCTGCCTCGGCCGCGACCCACTTTTGGTATCCGCCCTCAATGAGCGCGTTTTGCTTGACCGTGAACGGCGTGTACTTTGCCGAGCCGACCGGGTCCTCCCAGCCCCAGTACGACGCCCGTGGCCCGGTGTAGAACTTGGGCGGGTCGGGTACCGCCGAGCCACGCACCCGGACGCCGCCGATCGAGCCCAACGAGCTGCCGCCGCTGCTAAAGGGCGGCGGGCTGGGTGGCGGCGGTGGGATCTTGGCTCCGGACCGCAGCCGCCGAATCGACCTCTGCTTACCCTTATCGCCAACCCGGTACTGGACCATGTGCTTAAAGTCGAGGCCGTACTTGGTGCCCTTGATGGTGAATGCAGCCTTGCCGCTGCCTGACGAGCTCGAGCTCGAGCTCGAGCTCGAGCCGGACCCGGACCCGGCGCGAAGAAACGCCTGGTACGCCGACTCGATCGTGCTCGAAACTTTAGACTTGAACGAGGTGTACTTGCCCGACCCGACAGGATCCTCCCACTGCCACACGCCCTTCTTGGGCCGTTGTAAAAGTGTGGATCAATGCGAGGCTGGATCGGGAGCATTGGCCTCCCGCGCCCGCGCCTACGCCCGCGAACAGCCACAGGCGGCGCCCGACGGGCCCGAGCCCGGCCCTCCGGTGTCGATCTACGAACTGGGCGTGTGCCCTTTGACTTTGTCCCGGTCTGGGTCATATCGTTAAAGTCGATGGTGTACTTGCCGACCGGCGTCGTCACAGCCACCTGTGCCGTCTTGTCCACCTTGCCCTTACCCTTACCCTTGCCTCCGTTCTTGCCTGCGCCCTTAGCCCCGCTCTTGACAAACTTGGCATACGCCTTTTCGATCTTTCTCGATGTCTTGTCCACGTACGCCTGGAACTGGCCGTTGTCGCCGAGCCTATGCTCTCTCAACATGCCGCCGTCCAGCCCCGCACCCCCGCCACCAGCCCAGATCACGCCAACGCATACATCCACGTCCACAGCCACAGTCACGACCAGTCCCGATCCCATCCCCATCCCCATCCCCATCCACGACCCCATCCCCCATCCCCATCCCCCATTGTTCCGCAAACCGTCCAACCCGTCTGCCTGTCAGTCACCTCCTCCTCTCCCACCCCCCCTCTGACCCACACCCAACCAAACACACACACACACACAAGCACATAAGCACATACCACTCCCAGAACACCCCACGGCCATCATCCGAGCCCTCACTGCTGCCACTCCCCGAGTATGACGACGACGACATTCTCGCAGTCGGTCAGTCAAGTGGCAACTCCTGTCCCTGCCCTGGTCCACCCGCCATCGCGCCGGCGAGCCTCGAAGCACGGGCTGTCCGGCGGTCGAGGACCACCTATCCCTTTTTATCTGTACCTCGCAGTATGCTGACGGCCAGTAGATTTTCAACATTGCCATACCTCAGCTCTAGCACACACCGTCGTCATCGCCGTCGTCGTCATCGACGCCGTCGTGGTCGTCGTCGTCGGTCGACCCTCGCTCAGCCTCGCCAGCCGCAGGCTCGAGGGAGGCATTGACCGAGAGTGAGGTCTGGAGATCAGCGGGAAGGAACGAGACAATGACTTGGATGTGTTCCGCAATCCGCTGCCGGATCCGCGGCGGGTCGTTCGGGTGCTTGGCCAGCTGACGCCGGAGCCGGAGCAGGAGGTCCACCACCACCACCTCGTCCTTGGCATGGATCCACGCCGGAATGTCTGCATCGTACAGCGCAGCCAGGTAGAGATCGCGGATCCGTGCCCGTGCCTCGCGCCGCCGCGACCGATACCATCCGCCAAAGTTGGGCGAAGCAAAAACGCCGCGTAAAGCTCGGTCCACTGGATCTTCTTCGACGTTGCAATGACCGGCGGTGGGCCAAGTGCTTCTTCAAACGCCCCGGTGCCCGACGACGAGCCGGTCGGCGTGAAGCCTCCCGACGAGGAGCTCGACGTCGAGTTGAGCGAGTCGAAGAAGTCCTTGACCGAGAACGGCCGACACTTGGGTGGGGCGTCAAATGCCGTGATGGTCCGCGCCAGAGGGAGAAGCGACGCAAAGTACCGCTCCAGCGGAATGAGGAACGCGTTGGTCAAGTCCGCAAAGTGTGTCCGCAGCGCTGCCGTGTGCTCTGCTGCAGACTCGCCCGTCGGCGTCTTGTCGGTCACTATCCTCTTGATCAGCGCCTTGTCTGCAGGCACGATGCTCTTGTAGCCCGTCACCACTCCCGAGCTTCGCTTCCCGCCGTCCGACCGCGGTGACGGTAGCGGCGAGAGCGAGCCCGAGCCCGAGCCCGAGGCCTCGGCCCCGGTCGTGAGGTAGTCGGGCCCGCCGCCCTTGGCCCGCGCCTTAGCCCGCGCCTTGGCCCGCGCCTTGGCCTTGGCCTTGGCCCGCGCCCGTGCCCCCTTTCCAGTCGTCACTGTGCACTCAACGCTCACAACATGTGGCCATGACGAGAGCGTCTTGCGGAAGAACGGATTTGTCACGCCGAGGATGACCGCAGGCAGCCTGCCTGCCTCCTCGGGCTCGGCCGTAAACATACCAAAGTCCGAGTCATGGATGGTGAAAAACGGCCGAAAGTCGCCGGCGTACTCGAGCGGCGCAATGAGCGAGACCAGGCTGAGCACAGCCTTTGAGCACACGTCCGGCGAGTCCGCCTCCACGAGCAGCGGCTCGCCTAGCAGTACAAGCTCCCACAGAAGCCACAGTGACGAGAGGAGCGGAAAGAAGACATGATAGAGCGAGAGGTCGGCAACAGAGCCGACAAGCACCTCGGGCGCCGCGCCCATCCCGCGCCGTGCGCCAACAAGCCGCGCCGCGCTCGCCTCGGGTAGCGCCGCAAGTAGTGCCTCCGCGCTCGGCGGCCGAAGGTCGCGCGCCACATGCGCAAGCAGCACCTCGCCCATAAACGGAAGCTCAAGTGTGGCCCCAGCGCTCGGCGGCGGCCATGACGCAATCGAGTGGCACGCCGTCTCTAGCACCGGCGCCCCGTGCTCAAAGTACAACTTGCCCATGATCCGCACCATCCTCGTGTACAGCGCCACCAGCGGCGCCGACGTCACAATCACCACAGACTTTTGCAAGTATCCGCGCTTGATGCTCGCGTCTTTCTCCTGCCGAAAGTAAACAAAGCCATACCAGTAGCTCTCGTCCACCAGCGGCAGCATTTCGGCACTGCGATGCCGTACCCTCTTCCGCCTCATCCTCGCTCTCGCCTCCTTCTCTGTATCGCATCCGCCGCTTGCTGCATCCACATCAAAGCCCTTGGCATCTCTACTCGTCCGTCGCGCCCGGAACGTGTACACCGTCGCGCCCATCCGCGCATTCGAGTCGGGAAACGAGAGAAAACAAAGATTGTGCGAATCGTTCTCTGACAGTTCCACTGCTGGCAGGGTGAACTCGAGCGCTACCGTCCACACCGCCCCACCCAAGTGTTCCCATGCAGCGCCACACTCCATGAGTAACCGCCCCGCTCCCTACTACCTTCTCCCGTTGCCTGCATCTGATTTCCTCGCCCCTTCCTCCCCCGCCTAGCTGCTGCACTCTCCTCGCCCGCCCACTCTCTCTCTCTCTCTCCCCATGTCACCCTCTCCGCGCCCAATGGGCAACACCCACGGCCAAAGGCCCACGTACACTGACCAAGTTCCAAGTCAAAGTTGACCACGCCTACAAAGGCAATCCACTTGCGCAGAGCCATGATCTCCTCGCCAGACATGGAAGAAAGTGATGTTTCACTACGGTGCTCATCGCCTGCTGCCGTCGCCGCGGTTGCCGCCATCGTCTGGTGACGAGTGTGCCAGCTGCCGGCGTTCGTTGTCAGCTCGGCCAAGCACGGCTGCCCCCACAGTCGTGCTGTGCAAGGGGCATGGTTTAAGGCGAGCAGGTGAGCGGGCTGCTAGTGGATGCCCTCCCACACAAAGGCGCCGACCGAGGCGATGGCGGCAAAGACGATGAGGTGGGAAAGGCTCGAGGTGATGGCAACGCCAAAGATCTTGAACGAGTCGTCGACGTTCTGAAGGTAGGCGAGAACATGGCTAAGCGTTCCGGCCCGGGTATAGTCAGACGAGAGGAGCGCGCCGACGTTGTACTTGAGCCGGTCGATCTTGCCGGTCACGGTAGACGCGACAACAATGAGGAAGACCAGCAGGAAGGCCGGGACGATGATATAGTACGCACCGTTGTACTGGCTGCTGTGCTTGTCCTGGTGAAAGTAGCCGACGGTCTGGAACGAGATGGAGAAAAGGGTGACGACAATGGCCGGGAAAATCCACCGCGAGAACATCTGGTTCGTCACCGCCACCGAGGTCTTGATGTGGTGGTGGCCGTAGACAATGGCCTCGTTGGCGTACTTGCCGGACTTGATGCCTGTGGAAAACGTGCCGGCCTGCATGCGGATGATGTTGCAGACCAGCGAATACAGCACAAGCGCCATGGTGAACGAGGCCACTGAGACAGAGACCGCCACTGCCTGTAGCACGAAAAGCGTCTTGAGACCCGACGAGTCACGCGCCCAGTCGCGCCCGTCCTTCAACGCCCGGAAGAGGTTGACCTGCCAGAGAACCGCAAACGTGGTGCCGATGACCAGCCCGCCCCACGCGTGCGCCGTCCCGAGCGCCATGATCTTCTTCCGAGCGCTCGGGTCGGCCGCGAGGCAGACGTGGACCTCGTCGGCAATGTAGTTGCGTGCCAGATACGGCATGACCATCAGGTGCGAGATGACCGGGATGAGGGCAAGGATGGCGGCGCCGACCAGGGTCGACTCGGTCAGCCGCGACTCGTACTTGTTGAGGCCAATGACAAAGAGCAGAATGGGCGCTGCCAGCAGCGCTGCCAGCACCAGTCCCTGGTACGCCCTGTTGAAGACGGTCGGCGACGGCGAGAGGCCCACTGCGGTGATGAGAAACCGCAACGGCTGCGTCGCCGTCACTGTCCGTTCCCGGCTCGTTCCTCTCCGGAACAGCCCCCCTGATCCTGTCAGCGCCTCAGCTTCGCCATGTCCTCCCACACCTCCATGACCTGCAGCTCCTCCGGCTCCGGCCTCGCCTCCAGCCCCGGCTGCAGCTGTCGTTCCCGGGTCGGCCGCCACCTCCGCCATTTCTGTGAGCGTGGGCGAAATGCTGGGCGGAGCAATGGGGTGCACCGAAGGTGTGATGGTCGACGTCGCCTCCTTGTTCTATGAGGAGACGGTGTAAGGGGGGTTGACGAGGTGGGGAGTTGGGTGTGGTAGTGGAGCCGGGGGGGAGGGGGGGAGGGGGGAGGGGTCGGTCGGCGTGGGGGCGAGG